CAATAATATCAATTCGTACTTTTAAGAAGATAGAATTAAAATACTAATCGTTTAAAACAAAGCCTTTCTTCTATTCTCCATTGTTCTTAAATCTCTCATTTTTGTTGTTTACATTTTTCTTGTTCACTATATGAACTCAACCCACAACATTTACTTCAATACACTAAAAAATATAGGAACATACGCGTAAGTTACGTAAAATAATTGACTGACCAATCGGAGAAGCCGTAGTTAAGCGAGGGTTTGTACGTTGACCCGGCAGTTCAATAATAGTGAGGACAATCTTGACTGGGTATTCCATGATTACGGCTTGACACCAAAGTTGGTTTAGGCGACACACTAATGGTGAAAGAAGCCTTTCGGTCTTAAATCGAATTTAGGATTATCCTTTTGGTAAAGTACCTCATTTGATAATATTGAAGGTTTGTTAGATAGCTGATCTACCATTTTAGTAAGACCAAATATTTTCAGAAAAACGACCTCAACATTTTAAATAAGGGTAAAAAATATCCTTGAAAAAAAAGATGATGCGTGGGCGGGTGCGCTTTTAAACTCAGGTGATAAAGGATATCTGATAGAGTGGGTGGTCGTTGTCGTAGTGACAGGTAGAAAATAGCAAACATGTCAAGATAAAAAAAGTTTAATCAAACATTGCTAGGCGGAAAAATAGGAAAGTGAGTTTTGGCGGGAAGAAAAGTGTTCCTGTTGGCCATTGGACAGTCAAGGGCGGCGTGGGTTGCAGAAGGGGTTTCTATCGCCGCTGATTAGTCAGAAACTCATTCAGACATTGCAGGCGTTGCCGGGAAACTTAGAAGTTCAACCAGAACAAAGACAAGATGGCGCCAGAAGAGAAAGAGGCTTGGCGGAAGTGAGTCAGGAAAATATCAGCAATCAGCTGCACCTTTCCATTGCGTGTCCATAATGATAATCACTTTAGCCAATATCTAGTAGGATAAGAGATGGCGACTGACACATACAAAATAGATTACAGGGACAATGAACAAGATACAGGTAGATAATCAGGTATATACATATATATATATATATATATATATATATATATATATATATAGAGAGAGAGAGAGAGAGAGAGAGAGAGAGAGAGAGATTTTACCTGATTATCTACCTGTATCTTGTTCATGGTCCCTGTAATCTATTATATATATATATATATATATATATATATATATATATATATATATATATATATATATATATATATATATGAAGAAATATAGTAAGATGTGCTATATTTATGGGATAAAGTGCTCAGTATCAGAGATAAAGCGTGTGTAAATATAAAAAGTGAACATAGAAATCAACACTTAGAGGCGACAGTCTGTTTCATGCGAGATTCAATCGTCAGGCCACGAGTGTATCTAGCATGAAACAGACTGTCGCCTCTAAGTGTTGACTTCTATGTTCACTATATATATATATATATGTATGTGTGTGTGTGTGTGTGTTTGTGTGTGTGTGTGTATGTGTGTGTGTGTGTGTGCGTGTGTGTGTGTGTAAAAAAGATAGGGGGACAGAAAAAGGGTGGAAAGGTGTAGGTATGAGAAACAAACACAGACACACACACACACACACACATATATATATATATATAAGTTTCATTAAAAATGATTGACGATGTTCTGATTTCATTTTTTTTGTGTTATAATTTTCTTCTTTTCTGGAGATAAAATAAGAAAGAAATTGTCCGAATATTCTGTATGTCCGAGCGCTTCCGGCTATAATTTTAGCCATTATCAAGTGTGAGTTTATTTTTACATTTAACTGAATGTATGGATTTCTTTATATATGTATCTCGGACATACGAAACATTTGGACATAATATATCTCTAGAAAAGAAGAAAATTATAAGAACACCAGAAAAATTAAAACAAAAACTTAACCGTAATACCTTGTCAGTCGTTTTTCAGGAAACTTGTATAAATAGAGACTGCTGCTCATATACACAATTATATATATGCCGAGTCATGTCAGCACCTGAAAAGCTTTTGGATTTTGGAACTTTGGATAAAGGATACTCAAGCTGTATTATTATTATTATTATTATTATTATTATTATTATTATTATTTCGTTTTCTGGTGTATACTCTTTTCCTTCCTGATCCCGACTAGAGACCTAAGGCCAGAAATGGCATCATGACATTTTAAACTAAATTTTTTACTTTTTTTTTTTTTTAAATCGCACATATTTTACATAGATAAAGCTCTTTGTAAGGTGTGGGTTGTATTTGTGTGTACAATATTTTGTATTTATTTAAGGCATGGGGCTACCAGGGATTCCTACAATGAATCTATTGGAATCTTTTCCAATAAACCCGAGGTCTCCCACTACAACTGAAATTGTTAATGTCCTCATGTGCTACATTTTTGAGATTTCGATTTTAAGGTCCTTGAATTTTGATAGCTTTTTGAAGATCTTCTAAGATACATTGCAGTCTGCCATATCAATAAGGAGGCACTTTTTTTGTTTGCGGTCTCTAATAACAATATCTGGGCGGTTATTTTTATTATTATTATTATTATTATTATTATTATTATTATTATTATTTCCTTTGGTTTCTGATCTATACTCATTTCTTTCCAGGTCCCGACGAGAGACTAAAGGTCAGAAATGGCATCATCGCATTTTTTACTGAGGAGTTTGGAAAAAAAAACACGCATATTTTACATAGATAAAAACCTTCCTTGCATTTTGACAGTTCTTCGAAGATCTTCAAAGATACATTGCAGTCTGCAGGGTCTGCCATGTCAATAAGAAGGCACATTTTGTCATTGCAGTCTCTAATCCCAATGTCAGGGCGATTTGCTTTGATTGTTCTATCTGTGTGTATTGTAAAGTCCCATAAAATTGTTACAGGTCCTATCTCCCTAACCAGGTCCGAATGGTGTTCATACTAATTTCTTGCAGTTTCCTTTCGCTAAGTGCTGCAGATTTTCCAGTGCAGATATTGGCCCACTCTTTCTTTTCAAGTATTTTTCAGAATTTAAGCCCCTGAAGACTGCAATGTATCTTTGAAGATCTTCGAAGAACTGTCAAAATACAAGGAAGGTTTTTATCTATGTAAAATATGTGTGATTTTTATATTCAGTGGGTGCCAATACAGCGCAACCTGATACAAGATGGTCAATTGTTTTTGGATATTTATCACAGAATCTGAATTTTGGGCTAACACAATTTTTCACTATGTGTGCTTGGTAATTTCTAGTTAGTAAACATTGTTACTGTGCAGCAAGAATAAAACCTTCAGTTTCAGCTTTTAACCCTGCACTACGCAGCCACAGATGGGTACGGAGTTTGTCAACATCAACTTGTTTGTTACGGACAGAATATTGACCGTGAAGCGGTTTATCTTGCCATCGTTTCTGTATCTGGTCAGTTGCATTTGCCTTTGCTTTCTTTTTTAAGTATTTTGCAGCTTCAGTCAGTGTATTATGCTTTACTTGTATTTCTTCACCCACTTGAAACTCCATTTTGAAATTTGTTCGCTTCCTTTGTTACTGAATAAAGTCGCTTACTACTTTCATGCACTTTGGCACAGATTATCACAAGTCTTTTGTAGTTTCCAGCTATCTTCGAAGGCTAATTGTTGTATTTATTATTATTATTATTATTATTAGTTTTCTGTTTTATGCAATGCTTTACCTGGGATCTACGGTAGAGCAAAGAAGTAAATATATGCTTTTTCTTTACACAAATTCTTATGGTAAGTGATACTTAACATGTATGGTGTTTATAATTCTCTTTCCATTGATAATTCTTTTCAGAGTAGATTAGCATTTCCACACAATGCAATATTTCGAATTTCATTTAAACAAAGATTACTAGAGATTTTGATAATTTTCTGGACTGTACCTTTCTTGATCGTTCCTAGGGCTGCAATTATTATACATATGAGATTAGTTTGAAGGAGTCATTATTATTATTATTATTATTATTATTATTATTATTATTATTATTATTTCCTTGGATTTCTGTTGTATACACATTTCCTTTCGGGTCCCAACCAGAGACCTAAGGTCAAAACTTCATGACTTCATGACATTTTCTACCGATCATTTTTGTAAAAAAACAAAACCTATCACACATATTACATAGATAAAGCTCTTTGTCATGTGTAAGATGTACTTGTGAGTACATTTTTTTTTGTATTTCTTCAAGGCATGGGATACCAGGAATCCCTTCAATAAGTCTATCGAAACCTTTTCCAATTAAACCGAGAGCTCCAACTACAAATGGAATTATTGATGTTCTCGTGTGAAACATTTTTTAGATTTGCCACTTCAAGATGCTTGTATTTTGATAGTTTTTTTTTGAAGATTTTCAAAAATACATTACAATCGGCAGAGATTGACATGCCAAGAAAGTACATTATGACATTATGTTTTTGTGGTTTTTGATCACAATGTCTGGGTGATTAGCTTTGTTCTGTCTCTGTGTATTGTAAAGTCCCATAAAACTGTTACTGGTCCTATCTCTGTAACGGAGTTTGAGTGATGTTCATAATAGTTTCTTGCAGTTTCATTGCCGTGAAGGTTGTATATTTTCCAATGCAGATATTGCCCCCCCCACTATAATGCCGACTTATATATTCAGTGGGTGCTAACACTGTGCAACTTGATAGAAGATGGTCAATTGTTTCTTGATATTTATCAGAGAAATTTGCATTTCGGGTTAACACAGTTTTTTAACATGTGTGCTTGGTAATTTGTAGTTAGCAAGCATTTGTCCTGTGCAGCAATAATAAAATCTTCGGTTTCAGTTTTTAATTCAGCACTACGTAACCATCGAAGACTATAGGGTTTGTCTATTATTATTTTATTTTGAATCCTCTTCTTCGTTTCGGTTGGATGCTGATCATCATATCTCAGCTCTTACCCGTAGCTGATAAACAATACATTCGCCAGCTATATGCGATGTTCCAAGCTGCGCTGCCACCTATGTACCCTCAATGATGTCAGGTATCCCCAAAACATCTTCAGACGGGGAAAAAAAAGAGTCTCGGTATTCTTGCAGCAACTGAAACCAAGTGACTAAGAGAAAATGCTAAAGGAATAGAAAAGGGGTGGATAGTAATGACCAGAGAGAGAGAGAGAGAGAGAGAGAGAGAGAGAGAGAGAGAAAGAGAGAGGGACTTACATAACATTTCCATTTCATTCTATCTAATTTATATTTTGGTTTAAAATAATCTTTTTTTTATTACTAAATATAGTTATAATTCATTATTGTGCTTTTACTTTCTGCATCATTTAATGGCCATTCTTTTAAATTTTTTTTCATTAATAAGGCACCATATTTTGAAATCCCCACCGAATACACATAAATCAAAACTTGCGTATTTTTTTAGCCGAAAGTGAAATTAAAAAAAAAGAGAGAGAAGATCCATGGAAGTATTTTATATTTATCAGTTACAGAAAAAATGACAAAACACAACGGCCAGTTCCTCAGAAGACTCGCTATTCGATTTATGCAACACTTCAGGAACTGATTGAATACATAATATCGTATCATTCCTGTCAAAGACTTGATTAATGCCTTACCAAATTGCTATGCAAGAACAACGATACAAAATAAAAAAAATCCTTATCAATCAAATCTGTCTTCCTTTATTGAAGAGTATACTTGTTTGCATTAATGATAGACATGATAAAACTATCTGCTTTCACACAAAAGACCATTCACAGTTCTAGTGACTGACACAAATATACAGGCGCCATTTTATATCAATGGACGAATAAATCATTTAGGGATTTAGAAGAAAGGTACGACACAAGTAATATTTATCTATTATTGTTGATGTGCATCTTATGTAGGTTAAACAACGACAAAAACGCTCCTGTTAATTGTTTGGTTGTAGTTGGTTGAGAGAACACGAATAAATTCCACATGGCAATTATATTTAATCATATTTAATGTTAAATGTTGGTTAACCTATTCGATGGGAAAAATATAAATCTACAGCATTGGTTCGTTCCATATCAGAAATATGTTTTTGAGAAACTTTGACACAATTTACATTATTCGGATTATTGTCCTCATCTTTGTCGCTATATTTATTACAACGTTTCGGCCGTTGTATGCTCCGGCCTTTTTCAGGTGGTTGGAATGTCGAACTGAACCCTTTATTCGCTTACTTGGGTAGAAGAAGGCCGGATATAGACAGATACAGAAACTTTGACTTTACGAAGAAAAACGGTATCAGAGACGGTTTATAAATTAGAATTGTATTCTTTGATGGATATTTTCTTTAGAAAAGGGATATTATTTTATCATTTTTCTAAGCTATCTTTATGCTAAAAATGATATTGAGGGAATACGTATGACAAAGTGGAAAAAAAAAAACAAAATTTAAATTCGCAGCATCCCTCGTTTGTACGCATGCGTCGTTACACCAACATAACAAATTTAGTTTGATGAAATCCTAAAGGACGAAATGCATCACAAAAAAACTTTTTCTGCTTTGTCATACATTTTCCCCTAATATTGTTCTCAATATATAAAAATATATATCGTTATCGCATTAAAAATGATATAAAATATATACTTGAACAATAATAAATAAATAAACGACAAAAAGGGAAACTCTTGTGACGCATTTTGTTAAGATGGCGGTTTTATTGATGGAATCAATCCCATAAACCGAAAATAAATATAAACGCTGGCTACAGCTTACATTAGAACACTAAAAATTACGAAGACGCTAAGTACAGCCAAGCACACACACATATATATGATTGTGTGTATGTGTGTATATGAGTAGCTCTGTGTGTTCATGTAATTTTTTATTTTAAACATAGAATGACTCCATTCTGTTAACAAGGTTCCCATCTTTTTACCTTGAATTTCAATTTAAAAGACGGATTTTGTTTCTAAACTTGTTCATGAAAGTATTTAACGAAACATTTGAAAAATGTCCGTGCTTAATAATCAAAATTTTGCCTATTGCCAGAATTATTAATTTTTTTCTTTTATTAAATACAGAAACTAGATAAGACTATCGTAATTCCCTATGTATAACACGCCCTTATCTATAATAGACACCCCTAAAATTATGCTGAAATTGTGGGAAAATAATACGCTCCCCTTGTTTGGTAATCAAACCATATAAACCCTCTCTAATTTCATTACGGTCAGCGTTTGCTACTCTTATTAAAAATGGTTTTAAACATAGAATAATATTATTCTAATTTAGTTTTATGATAATTCTTATTTTATTTATTTGTAAGTATTGTTAGGTATATTTAACATCCTTATGGGGTCGAATGTTAGTGTCAAATTGTCGTATATTTGTGGTGGTTAGTCATTTTGCAAGAGAAATCGACCAATGAAACAGCAATTTTTTAAAGATTTTTTTGTAACTTTGCTTAATACGGACTCCTGATTTTGCTTATCATTTTTTTTTTAGAACAAAATGCGTATTATACATGGGGAATTACGGTAAGTAGTGAGATTGTGCAGTAGCGACTAAGTCAGTTGGCAGCAACAAAAGAAACCGGATTTAAATTCAATCGGTGTTAAAATGTATCATTATGGCTTACTTCTTCTTCTTCTTCTTCTTTGCACCGAGTGCCTTCAGGACGTTGGCGATCATGACTCTTCACAACTTCCTGTCTTTTGTAGCCCTTAGTAAAGTTTGTCTTTTTGCTGTATGTATAACCGTTTGCATAGGTTGGTTAGGTAGATTATGCACTGCTTTTCTCTATCTCTCGTGTTCGATATGTCCTGTGAGTATCAAATTCTCCAAGTCCTCTTTTCTCATTATGTTCCCTAGAAATTTAAACTATCTCTTTCTGATGCTACATATAAGTGTCCTTTTTGTTTCCGTTTCCTCTAAAACTTCGTTATTGTTCACGTGTTCAGTCCGTGGCATTCTCAGCATCCTTCTGTAGAACCACATTTCCGTTGCTTCAAATCTCTTCTCCTTCTCTGAGGAGATGGTCCAACATTCACTGCCATATAGAAGAACCGATCTTAAATAAAACTTCAGCACTCTTTCATTCAGTCAATAAATTTGTAATCCGTAGAGTGAATGAAAGTCCTGACACATTTGCTTGATGAACCCTACACATGCTAGTATTAAAAATGACGAATATAATAATTAAACATTATCAGAGATAATAAAATTATCATAATGCTTTTCTTCAGAAGATAAAAGGAAATAGACATACCTTAAACATTTTAGTTTCATCTTTGACAAGCTTCGTACATATTTATACTCAAGTATTAGGTAATTGACTAACACATTATAAAAAAAAATCTATGTAACGTGTTTCGTCTTTTAAAAGGACTTCATCAGAATAAAGTAATTTTTTTTATAGAATTATATATGTTTATGTAGAAGGAGGGGGCATATAAATGTCGGTCATAATTATGTGTCGAATGGAAAAGCGGAATATTTACAAGCGTTAGATTATAATATTTTTGGCATCCGACGTGTCTAGACGCACAGCCCAGCCGGCTTCATTCGGTTTCCTTACGTGTTTGTTTTGCTTTTATTGCTGTTCGTTTTAAATATCCTATATCAACAACAGAAAACTTGCTAGGAAATGTGAAATGATGTAAGTCCCGAGACCTAGATTTACCGTATAAGATTCAGAAATTAGTCCACTTTCCATACATTTTTGCGGTAATAAATTAATTTCTCTTTTAATTAAAGTAGCATTTTTTAAATCGAAATTATTATCAGATTCATTACAATGAACAACTAATGCGTTGAGTATGTTGTTTTGCAAAAGATCTTTTATGTTTATATAATCTTTTATTTAAATTCCTCGAAGTTACTCCTATGTATTTTTGTGGCAATCATTACAGGCTATAGTATAAATTTTTGTCTCAGGATAGGTTGTTATTATTTTATTTTGTGTTAAGGTATTTTAATAGATGTATAAGTGGTTATAAGGAATTTTATGTTTAGATAAATTCTTTTCGATTGTAGTTGTGATAGAGTGGGTAGTATAGTGTGTCTGGTTTGTATATGATTAATTATGTTTATTTGATATCTAAGACAAATTAAGCACATAATTCTATCCACCATAACAGTTACAATCAAAAACACTTTATCCAAACTTGATCTAAAATTCATCAACACCACTCTTAAAATAATAAAAAAAAATCGCCAAACGGAATAGTAACAACAATAAAGATAGTGCAAGAATATACAAAATAAATTGCACAAAATGCCCAATGAAATACATCGGTGAAACACCCAGAAATCTAAAAAAGAAAGAAACAAAAATACTATATGAACATCACAGGGATCTATTGCATAACAACATTTTAAACGTGCTAGTAACACATCTGACTACAATTCCGATATAATAAATCCCAGCATAAATAGAAAAGAAAATAATTCACTAATAAGAAAATGCATTGAAAGCGCACTTATCTTACAACTCTGTATGGGTAATAGCGAAAACAAGAGTAGCACAATGCGTTATACGAACTAATAGAGACATAATCCATCAGATGTTAACGCCTTCAACACTGGAAACCAACCTTCTGGATCTGATATTTATTACCACTTTTTCAAAATTCTTCCAAACTTTCCTAGGGCACAGAATTCTCTCATATTCACGCCTGAAGACGCCTTTCATAAAGAGGCGAAACACGTTGTCTGAATAGTTTTTCCACTTTGTCTCAGTATCATCGTATTTGAAGAGACAAACATACCAATTCAAGTTGTGCATATATTCTTCGCATCTCCCTGTCTGTTTCAGTCACTTTTTATCTCTACGACCAAATCGGCCCGGTTCCATCCTATCACCGAAATTAGGCAACCTTGGGCAAGGTCCGTACTTGGGAATATCAGGTACTGGGAGCATTTCAACTTTGGTAGCGTTTACTATCTCCCCTCCATGATTAAATATCTTGAGGTGGGGAAGTAGTTTGTATCCTCCTACGTACCGGCGAGCTAATCTGGTGGGCGTTTATCCTTTCGAAGCTGCATCCTAGCCAGACAGGTCAATGGGTAGGAGCCATACAAAACCTTAGTTACCTAGACTAGCGAACCTGGAGTGTGCAATTGCTCGCCTGTCGGATAGATAGGCAGGCATCAACAGATCGATATATTAGCCTTATATGCAGTGATCAATAGTGAATGATAAGCTACACAGTCAACTATAACGATACTAGTTCGGTTGGTAGTAG